TGATTAACAAGAATAGAATTCAATAACATTGGTGTGATACAATTCAGAATGTCATTAGACACAATGAACAGTCAGCCCTCATAGCCAGTTTACATTGTGTGATCTGGCCCACCCATAGCATTAACCCAGAATATGAGTTGAATATGGCTTGTCACTGAATTAGAGGTATTGTCAAATCATAGGTTGTTACATGTAAACCCTGCAGCATGAGTTGTCAATCACAAAGAACCCAGAAAGATAACCCATAGTTTCTTATTTGGACGTGAACTCTGGGTTGTTCATAGCTAACAGCTCACACTTTCACCATATGGTAGAGTTCATTTGTAATGATAACCCCCAATTCAATCAAACAGCCCATTGGGATGTGTACTCTGGGTTGTTGTTTCATGTAAATTAAGTCAGAGTGTGCATATATGTGTTGCAGCTGTGCTTGCTGCATGTATGCTAGTTTTTGTTACAGCAAAGGAATATCAATTATGAAGGGAAGATGCTTGTATGATGAAACAAACCTTGAAAGTACATCAACTGCTTGCAGGAAGAATTCTGAGAAAGAGAAGCAGGTTGAACAGTTTCTCCCAACCTGCTTCACACCCTTCTGCCATCATCTGTGGAAAAGATTCTGATTACTGTATTTTTGTTGTTGTCATGTGTAAGCTGCCTTGGAAACATTTGCTCCCTGAAAGGTGGGATGTAAATACAAATAAGAAATACCATGGTGTTCAATGGAGTTTGCGCCTTTATAATTGTTTTTAGGGTTGCAACTGAATGTTAAAAGTCTAGAAACCCTGGCAGCTGAGACTCTAAGTTATAGAGTTCTCACCATCCTCACAAAATTTAGAATCATTTAGAAGACTCTTTGAGGGAGGTGATGACATAGGATTAAATCTGTAGCACATAAATTGTCAAATTGTATTTAGGATTTGTATCAAATATAAGGGTAAAACAAGGGCTTATCAGACATGCTTTCTGGCTTATTTATTGCATTACAAGCTCTTTTCTGTCATGAAATTGGCAAAATTCTGTTGCCCTACTCAATTAAACTACATAATGAAACATACATCATCTATCAATTAAAAATGGCAAAGCATCCCCAATAAGGCAACAACTAAATATTCAAATAGGGGATCATTATGCATTAAAAACAATTTTAAAGAGTTGTCTTTACAACCCTTTGCTGAACAGGCTTCCTAGGGAGCACCCTCTGAAGGTAGCTAGGACTGACCACAGAAATGGTCAGAAAAACCAGAGCCGTTCCACAAGATCTGAGAAGATGGACAGACATATAGAGGAGCAAACGGTCTTATGAATACTCTGAGTCCAAGCAGTTTGCAGCCTAAAATATAATAATCATCGGCACTTTGAATAGGACCCTGAGGAGGTTCAGAGTCAGACTGTGGCTCAATTTTTAAAGTAGGTGCATTACATGAAGAATAAGGGTGAGCAACTTGAATCCCTTTAGATGTTTTTTTCTACAATTCCCATCAGTCCTATCCAGTGTAGCCAGTGCTGAGGGATGCTGGGAGTTGTAGCCAAAATGTCAGGAGGGCCAGTTCCCCACACTAATGTTAGAAGGTCCCCAGCTAAGTCCCTGGAATCCACAATATCAAATATTCAAATAGCCAACTCCTGATGGCAGCCCAGCCTAGCTACAGCACTCAGAACCAGCTTCAAAGGCAGCTCCCTGTAGATTATTTATCCCATCCTATACTCATGGCTCTTGGTAGCTTGCATAAGCATGCACACTTTTATAAGGGATGAGCAGAAATAGCATCTAGCCTTTTCCACAACTTTCTACAGGACACCCAACACAGCCAGAGCCTTTGACAGCTGCTTATAGCACAACTGGCTTTTGTCTTTTAAAGAAGTCTTGTTAGGACAAGAAAAAGAGTATGTGTGGTGCCACAAGGGCATTGATTCGCAACTCTTTCCCCTTGGTAACAAAACAGCAAAAACTAAACATACTCCAGACTTGAATCAAACAAGTAACAGGCTTCTAATTCTAGAGTGGCTGTCTATGGTACTTGACCTGTCATTGAAGAATCCCATAATGCATTAGCCAAGGACCAAAGTGGTATCAGCAGAAGTGCAGAGAGGAGCAAAGAACTGTAGCCAAGTTGCATCAAACAGATAATTTTCCCAATGATACCTCCCTGCCATTTAAAACCAACATTTACCCATGAACTTGCAATTAACTGCATAAACATCCTGTTATGATGTGTCCTCTGAATATAGTTATCTTTGTCAAATAGTGAGTGGAAGGCACCTCTAATGTAGGAGGGGCAAAGAAATGGTGGCATCAGGTCTACTCATGTGTGTGTCCCCGACAGACAATCCTTCCAGTCACAGTGCAGGAAACACGGGGATGGCAACATGGGCGCCCCACTCCATAAACTTATCACATGAATTTGTAACACAAAAACTTGAGTTGGTGGCAAAACTGTGAAATCCAGAACATTATAACAGGATTTGAATAAAGCAGAAGCCATTTTATCTGCCTGCAATTCAAGGAATAGGAGATATGTTGGCCATTTTTCCCTATAGTTCATATAAAAGTTTATTTCCCTTAGTCTTTCCTAATTCTGGATTACCAGATGGTGTTGGACTACAGCTCCTATAATCCTCAGGGCAATGGCCAGGAATGAAAGGAGTTATAGTCTATCATCATCTGAGAATCCAAGACTGCAAAGGCTACCCTAGAAGGTGGCTGCTCCTCTTCCCAAACCTCCCTGTTGTTGTTTTGGTGCGTCTGTTTTCCTCTCTTTCAGGACATTTTTATAGCACCTTCTCTTGTTGACATGAATTTGCTTTGGTTTCTCTTGAAAGTTCACCTTTTGACAGCTGTCAAGAGAAAGCCAAGTGAAAAAGAAACTCATTTGCAGGCTCTCTAGGGAGTGCCTTCTATGTTTTGACAACAGACACCCTCCAGGACACAGCCCAGGAAAGGCTTGCCAGCTCAGACTCACCCAAGAGTGAAGAGCACACCTGCACACTTGCACAAGTCTAAGTAAAAAAGAAACTGAAAAGATGTACAAAAATGGTATGGATATCTTGTGTTAAAAAGGTAATGAATCAGTGACAGCTCCTCCAATATGCTGCTTGGGTATTGCGAAAAGATTGTAACAAGCTGTCTACTTGGAAACCACAAAATGTTCTCTCTAGAGGTGTGGGGGGTGCTAAAATGCAGTCAAAAACCACCGCAAGAGCAGACGGGCTCAAAATTGTGGCAGGAAGGGCAGACAAAATGGGGCCTGCTGCAGACATCCACAAGATCTCTGGGATACCACAGGAGAACAGCTGGGGGTGGGGGCAGGAGGCTGTACCTTACTCACTGGGCGGCTTGTTGTGGCATGCAAACCTACCCAGTGTTGGACTAGAACAGAGAAAGTATCAGATTCAAATCTCCATGCAAACCCACTGAATGATCTTGTACTCTTAGCCTAACCTACTTCCAATGTTATTCTTAAAGTAAAATGTATACTGCTCTGAACTCGTTTGTAAAAATAGCATTTTGCAGAGTACCAATATAATGACAGTGGTTTTCCATCATATAACACAAGGTGGAATGCATTGGATTTCTAGGTGGTTTTCCACACTATCCACATCCTGATCTGAATGTGTCCCTACCTTCTAGTGTGGGAACACCTGAGGTTTCAATGAAGCCAGTGCTCTGGCAGCTCCTGCTGGTTGGAATGTTGACAGGCTAGTAAGGAGATCCATAATGCGAATTAATGCCTGCCAGCTCTGCCTTCCTACTGCAGTGTATGAATGACTGAATTTTAGCGCTTAAGATGGATAGGTTTATTGGCAGTTATACTGGTACCGGAGAACCGTGGCCAGAGACCTTCTACTTCACATGTTCAGTGGCTATTAGCCTTTTTAGACAGTCCTTGGGATGAATCTAGTGTTTAGATTGTCACTTGCATTCTTAAAGGTGGCTAGTAACTGCACTTCTTGAAGTGGGTCCTTTAAAAGGGGGGAAACAATGCCAAGCCTCTAGAAGAACAAATAGACAACAGTCTGTTCTGCTACTGTTTTAGCCACTACTCACAATGCCCGATTCCAGCACACAACTTGGTGCTTGCAGATTGATTATGCCACATGTGCTTCTTTAAATCCCTGGCCCAAAAGCACATGTCCACCTTGTGTCCTTTGCCAAGCTATGAAAAACAGAAGTGAATGCCTGGTGGTTGATGTAAGTTTGACCCCCACAGTCAACACACTTGCAGAAAGGGGCTCCAGAAGACCATAAGCCCTCAGGCTGTTGTAAAAAAAACTCAAAGAGAAATTTAAAAACACAAAATCAAACATGGTAAGAACAAGGCAAATGGAAGAGAAAAATGGAAAGTACAATATCCTCCTTGACATTTTCTTTCATCCTGATGAGGAACAGCAGAATAGCTTCCCAACAAGACTGAAAAAGCAGCAATCAAGAGAGAACTGAGGGGACCAGTGAGAACAGGACTTCTCGTCATATGCGATGGGACAGTGGGGTTGGGTTCCTGCCAAAATTCCTCAGCTGTACAAGTTTCCTCAACAGGGCTCCATGCGGGTGAAGGAGCCATATGTGGAATGCACAGAGACCATAAACAACCACAATTTCCTGCAAAACTAGATGCGTTACACTTACGGGGTAACCACCAAGTGTCCCAATATATCCCCACAGAGCTGCATTCAGTATTATATAGAAATTATATACATACCTTGTAGACATGCATATTTGAAGGTACATACATATGCCATTCCTATTCCTTGAAAACAGCACACTGCTACAGAAGCACCAAGTGAAACTCCTGTTTTCCACTCATGGACTATACCTTATGACAAAGTCAGCTATATTCTGCTGTGCTTAACAAGCACAGAAAAATTCAAAAGGTAGTCCTCAGCCCAAACATCAGTTTCCAGAGAATCCCAGTGTTTACTACATCTGATCCTTTCCGTAGTTAAAACAGACTTCAAAGTATGTAGAAAAGTCTTGTGGAGGTTCAAAACCTGAGGCATGGTTGAATTACTTAATTTTATTATGTTTATAGACTGTCTTATCAACAAGGATTCAAGGTAGCTTACAACAAGTCAATAATTTAACAGTTAAAGAAATTAGATTCTCTATGGTCATAAGGTGGGGTGTTAGTGTCCTATCTCTATACCTTTTTGATCTTATTACCTAGACATATACAATACAGGTGCACATTAATTATACCGGTTGCAGAACTCCAGTTCTCTTTACATGATATCTGGTTATCTTGGCATATCTTCTACTTTTTAAATTTTAGAATAGTGTAACTAAAGCCCTGACATAATCCAGACCATATTTAAGACTCAGGCTATAACCTGAGGAGAAAAGCAGAGCAGGCCTACACTGTTAAATAGGCAACACACACTCAAAGAAAAGGCTATCAAGAGGACGTACTATCAGGCATATTTATTTACTGTTCCCCCTTTAAAGGGCTAAATAAAGGACAACTGAACTTATACAAAAATAAATATGACACCATTAAATTAGTGATCTGTTAAAAAACTCTTAAGGGACAGGTAAAGAGGTATCTAAAATTCTCCCTGTGCCATCAAATTTAAAGCCTATTTGGTGGGGAGGAATTGAACTGTTAGCACAATCTACCTACAAAGTTAATTATGGCAGGAAACTGTTGGAAAACAAAACTATACTCAGAAACTGGACCGCACCGTGGATGGAGCAAAATAAGGCAGGAGGGGTCACATGTCAGTACAGAGCAAGCAATACAGAGCACCAGTTGGCCACTCATTGTATATTTAATATTGAGTTGTGGGGAGAACTACAACATTTGACAGCTTTCCATTTGATACGGCTCTATGTTGCCTGTCACGGGTGGGAGCTCACAACAAAAGATGACGTTGGGGTATTGCAAGGCAACTGCTGTAAGGGAAATCATCTCTTTGGACAGAGATTGTGTTAATATTGCACATTTCAACAGAAGGAAGAAATTTAGGTGAAAGTAGAAAGCTTGGCTCTTAGCCTTTCCATTCTGGTTGGAAGAAGACCAACCATCTCTTTACTGAGTTCTAGCTCAGTTTCAATCGCCTGGACAGCCTCTGTGTGCTTCTCACAGTAGTCTACTAGAAAAGAGTAATATTCCAATGAGGTCTGCATGTTTTCCAACTGTTTCTTGCCATCTGAAGTAATAAGCTTGCCATATAGGCGTGCAATGTGAAACTTGGCCACCATTGCAGGGCGAAGAACATCCTCTTCCAGGGTCTCAGGGAAAACCTTATCAGGGTTCCTCAGTGAATCTAAAAAGAGTTCGTAGAATTTTATTGCCAGCTGAGCAAGAGAATTTATTTTCTTTATTGTGTGGGAGTCAAGCTCCTCTAATCTATTACCAATGGCCACTTTTAGATCCATCATCTCATAATAGGTATCTGCTAGTTCAAACTGAAGCTGCCTACTGAGGAGCAGATAATACTGAGGATTTAAGCCTGCATATATTGGCTCAAGCATATCGATCCTACGCTTGTGCATCTTGCAACGCCTCTCATAATCTTCTTCAAAGAAAGCAAGTACCTTGAACAAGGCACTGTGGTCCTGAACAATTTCAATGTGGTCAGTGACATATCCATCTACCTGAAAGAACTCTTTAGCTTCATTGACATAATTCTGACCCACCAAGAAGACTTCCCTGGCTTCTTTGAAGTCTAATGGAAACACACAGCTCACTTTTTCTTCCATGGCCAAAATAGAGTCACACAGATCACTGGTTCCAAAGAGAACTGCCTTCTTCCTGCCCTTCTCCTTTTCATCCTCTTCTTTTTTCTGCTGGGCTTTAAGTTCTGATTGCCTGTCAAGATCCAGTTCACCAATGTTGTCCTAGAATGAGAACACTCAAGTGTAAATATAACTAGTTCAGAGATTAAATAGCACCACAAATTATTTTCCATAGAAACAGCTTCTGTTACTCTGAATTTACTTGTAGAACAGAGAACCTCATTGATTTTGGATTTCTAAGTTTAAAATGCACCAGAATTCAAAATGTTTTAGTCTGTCTTTCTGGTCCTAAATAGCAGGAACACCAAAGAGATCTCCATATATTCTTATTAATTTCACAGAAACAAGCTAAGCTTAAAGAAGCAATGAAGTGCAAGGGGCATATACATTTTTTTACAACAGTTATCAAGCTACTTACTCCCTGATAGTTCCTTGACTTCACTTGATTTATTACAGAGTAAACAGCTTGGCGGTTACAGCACAATGGACTGCAAATACCAAGTCTCATTCTTATTATTTAAATTTTTTTACACTCCTTCCACTGATAGATTTTGGGTATGTCTTAGCTGCCATTTTATATCTTTGTGGAATTTGTTATTCATTTCAATTCTCTGTTTACACCACAGTGTATTGGATTGTTGGAATGGCTTTCTAGAACTGAATGACAACTTATAACATGGCAGGCACTATTACACAGTTCATTTTCATCCTAAGTGGAAAACTAACATCTGCATGTCACTGGAACACCTCAGCATAGTTGCTTGCTTGTCTGTCCTAACCCAAAATATCTTCCCTCTAAAAGGACAGTAGCAAGACAAAAACACTAGAAAGGCTAAAGTAGAAAACCGTTCAACAGAAGTTTATGAACCAATGACAATTTAGCAAAACAGAGCTCTTCTTTCTAAGCAAGAAAATATATTCAGTTCCTAGAACAAAACCATTTGGTCATTATGAGAATAAAGCATCAAGTTACAGAAATAGTCAAGGTCCATCAAGCCTGGCAGTCACTAGATGAAAGTAAAGGTTTTTGTTTATGACATACAAATAAACTGAACACTTGGGGAATAAGCAAGTTCTATGAACCTTGATCAACACCTATTTCCTCTTTTTCCTTCCTCTGCCATCCCTTTCATTTTTATTTAAGTTGACTTTTTCTTGCTATACCATATTTATTGTGGTGTATTTATGCTAAAAAAATTAAGTTGGAAAAGGTTGCACCATGCTCCCCTCAAACACTGAGAAAGACCTGAGTGCACCAAGCTACAGAGATGCCCTGACTCCTCCAGATGAGGCAGAGTCAAAGGTCCTGAAACGAGTCACACTGGCAATAGAGGAAAAGCAAGGGCCCTCAAGGTGAATGAGGAGACTCTTCCCCCTTCCCAGGAAGCTTCAGAATCTGAGCCAGGATCCACCCAGCTCCTGAGGAAACCACCACTTAAAAGAACGAGCACAGGTATTTCCTCTCAGTCAGAGTGCCAGGTTGTAGCAAGGTCTGTGTAATAAACTAGGGCTGAGAACACAAGCATATCGAACCAGGGACTAGACAGAAGGCCAACTAGCATGTTGAGGAATTTGTTTGTAACAGTGACTACCTCACAGTTTATGCACCATAGACCTTGCTCCTGATCCCTTGCCCTTGTTGAGTTTCACAGAGAACCCTGGACTGAAGAATGAGTATAGTTTTATAAGCTAGCCATATGTCCCAGGTCTCAGCTAATGCTTGGCTCCCATCTTTGTACATGATTCGATTTAACTTAAGCTTTGACTTGATTCAATATACTGTAAGAGAAGGAGTGGGGAACTAGCAGCCTGCAAAGTCTCTCCAGTCTGCCTATAGTCACCCTCCTCATGATAATTAGGTTTGAAAAATGTCTTCCGTATTTTCCCAAGCCTAAGTACAGCAGAATTTTTGCAGAGGGTTTCAGCAGGGGAGGGAAAAGCTAACCCTTCCCACACACTAGGATGCTCTTGGAAATCGTATCTTCCCATGGCAAACAGGCTGAGCAAAAAGCCTCTCACTGACTCCAGTGAGAGGCTCTTTTCCAAGTCAAATTGCTGCCTGTGTGGAGTGAGAGAGAGAGAGTTTGGCTTTGCACATGCACTGCGAGCAAGAGTCAGGCGCAAAAATAATGAGGTGCAAGCGTACTTTGTATTGTGTGCAAGAATTTATGGATGTATGAGAAAATGTGTGTGGATGGCACCAACCTCGTTTTTCCGTGGGTCCATCCACCACTGGCATGCAGCCCCCTGAAGATTAGCTATGGGGGAATAAAGCCCCTGGGAGTACATGGCCACCTATCCCTGCTACAGTGCCTCAGCATCAAACAGAAACGTAACAGCTTGGGGTTAATTACTACTGCAAACATTAAAATGGTTATTTGCATTTCATTACCTCAAGCAACTTCCGGGCTCCCTGCAACAGGTTCAAGCAGTACTTAATCCAACATCTGGCAATTTCAGCTTTCCTCTGGCGAAGATCTTGTTGATCTTGTTCTGTTTCATCTGATTTAAAATGCCACCAAATATCAGGCTAGAGCTACTTCCCAATGGATTGCTCTTAGCAGTACCAGTCAAAAGACAACATGCAGTTAGCCCATCTTTTCTTCCTTAATGGCCTTTTTTATGGAAAGAAAAATGATGGCTGCAGTGGTGAGAAAACGCAAGAGGACTGCAAAATGAAGAAAATGACGACAACCCCCTGTAAAATTCCCTGACTGAGGCAGGGTGAATGCAGGGTAAGAGGTTTGTTTGAGAGGACCCCAGTTCACAGTTACCTCTGTTCATTTTGGCACGTGTTACTCATATCCCAACTCTGCCTTGTACTCCTTGGCCATGTTATTTCTCTCTAAACCTCATTGCTTTGTCTTCTGTGAAATGGATATTCAAGTAGAAAACTGTGGGTTCAAAAGAGTGTTTTTGTGTTCTGGAACTGGGACCCCAGCTTCATTTTTCCCTTAGGTTCTTGAGCAAGTTACTTTTCTTTTAGCCTGTTTTGTTTTCTTGCAAGTCAGTGCATTCTGACTGTCCACACCCACAATAGCAACTGTTTTGTCAATGCGCACCCCAGCAGCCCTTTATTAGAACACCCACCAACTTTTCCAAAATTTCAAATTTCCCCACTGGCCCAAAAAGGTTAGAACTAGTCTCACAAAGCAGTGGATCAGTAAAATTGATTAGACTAGATTACGTGCAAAGAATACAACCAATAACAGTAACAGAATTAGAAAGAGCATGCAACATCCTTCCTAGCCCATTCAATTCAAAACTGCTACCACCAAACTATCAGAGAGGTGACTTACTGTCCTCTGCAGATGGCACTTGTCCAGCTTGGCCAAAGATGACACTGGCAGCTGCTAAGCAATGTCTTGACTCCATGAAACATTGCTGTGGGAAGACGAAATGGTAAAAAGCTGGCATATAAAAAGTGACAACTTTCAGTTTTCAAATACTATAAAATTATAGGGTATTACTGTTTTGAAATTGGATGGCTGAACATGTGGTTGCTAAAGGATACAGTGGCATGATCTGACACTGTACAATAGGAAATCTCACAGCAAACATAGAATTCTCTCTTTAGGGTCCTGTCAGAAGTCACCCACCCACCATAGCAAAATTGGAGCATAACACAGTAGCTTCCTTTCATGCTTTCATCTGAAATATTATTTTTGTTATTTGCCCTGTTGCTTCCCATTACTCTGACATCTGGAAATGCCAACATTGCCACAAAAAATATTGACCAGCATCAGTATCTTATGCTGACTCAGAAGTATGTCTGAGTCCAACAGGGCTCACTGGAGCATAAAAAATAGTAGCCAGCAGATCATGGCAAGATTCTCTGGGGGGCAGGAAGCCCAACTCCTATCACATTTATCACACTTTTCTACCCTTTCCCAAGATTATATAGGTGTTTGGGAAGCTGGAAAAGTGCAAGGCACCACATTGACAGGGCCACAAAGCTTTGACTGCTCTCAAAACTCAAGCTTCTTTTTAAAACTGAATTTTGACAGACCTGATCAACATTTTTACAGTATATTAATAAAAAGCTGTGTTATCCTTCCCGTAAAAGAGTCCTCATCTGATGAAGAGCTGAAGAACTTATGTGCATATTATTATGTCCTTGTCAAAAACCCCTGCTTAGCATTGTCAAAGAGCCCATTTTAAATGGAAGCCTAAGATTTGACAGCTCCTATAAACGTGATGGCTTGTGATTTTTCCACCTTCCAAAGTGAAAATGAGGGAGAGAACATGTGTGCAACTATACTCGATGGGACAGGGAGTGGAGAGCTTCACAGACACCGTTGGAGGTCTCTGTGCTGCCCAGAGCTAACATGTTGGGAACCTCTGGCCTAGAACTTTATCTTTTAATACAATGGGCAAAAGGTAAAAAACTATTTTGGCTGACAGAAGTGTATCAGTTGTAGGCTTATATTATTCCAAGGACAGCATATGCCTACTGCACACTGAAACCTTTTTCTTATTTTTTTCTAGTCGTATTTGCAAAGACTTGGCAGCTGGGTACCATGGTGAAGTACAGCTGACTCACTCCTTTTGAAAACAGACAAAAGGCTTGATCTGAAATTTGCTTCCTTGACCAGGAGCACTCTCTGGCAATCCTCCCAATTCCTCTTCCCCCTGTAGCCTTCCGCATCAGTTCCCATGGGCGCCCCCACTCTCTGGAACAGATTGTTTGGAGGCGTATGGGGCTGCAGAGGGAGGGAGGAGAAATCGGCAAAGGTCACGAGTTCACCCTTTTTGCCAGCACAAATCCTTCATTAGAGCAAAGTCTTTATCCAAGTTCTAGTCTGAATCCAGACTCAGTTAGCTGAACTTGGGCACCATTGATTTAAACAGGACATGAGTTCAATTAACTAATCCAAGAAGGAGTCACTGGGGCAGCTGGGGCAGTGGGTGTGAGCTTGGGTGGACTCCGAGGGATGGGGGAGGCCAGGAGAGCCTGGAGGAATGTTGTCCATGGGGTTGTGATGGGTCGGGCACAACTTTGCGACTAATAACAACAACAGATCTGGCCGAACAGCTGCCACTAACCGCCACACAAGCATGATAGCTAATCAGCCAGCAACTCCAGATATAGTAGCATCTTAATAAATAAGGTACATAGAAGAGTTATTTAAGCAATTACCTTTCTGAGATAATACTGAGATAAAGTAGCTGCGTTAAGAGCCCATTCTACTGGATAGTAGCCACTATACTCAAGCTGCCGCTTAAGGGTGGTATGGCAATACTGAGCAGCCTTCTCAATCATTTCCAGATGTTGGTAGACTTGGGCCAGATAATATAGAGTATGAGTATAGACTTTCTCAAATCTGGGGAAACAGGAGGTTTAGACTTAATTTTCTGACAGACACTCCCTCACTCATCTCCAACTGCTGCTACCGTCGACACACACACCTTTTTGATCTCTCTTGGTCAGAGAGTTTCTCTTCTTCAGTCATAAAGTGTTCATTGGAATCGAGTGGAGGATTCCCAATCTGCAAAACAGAACATGTTCTGAAAGAAATATATACGGCAACTTTTGTGCTCACTCTACTGGCTGCAATACGGTAGTGCACAGAAAGTAAAGCTAAGAATAAGCATATTAAGAGGAAATGATCTTCTTACAGAAGACATCTAGGTTCCAAACATCTAAGGTAGTTAACTCTAGATACCATTCTAAGAACAACAGCACAAACTACTGTAAGGGAGAAACAGTTATTATCCATCTCTACCCCTACATAATTCTAAAAACCCATTTTCTCAAATGGTTAACTCTTCTGGAATTAGCAAAATCATAGCTTGCCATTTTGTAGTACCGAGAGTAAGGGGGTGAATGTTTAAATGAACACATTTCAGTAAGCATAACAAAGAGGCCAGAATCCCTTTCCTTTCAAATATCAAAAAAAATGTTACAAGGTCATGCTTTAGTTGTGGATGTTCAAGCACACTCCAGTAAAGCCCCTCAAATGAACTGGGTATTCCAAGAATCCAAATGCCTCAAAGAGCACCTCCTATACCATCCTGGCTGTGTTTTAATACCTTCAAACAAGGGCCTTTTACATGTCATTGAAGTACATTAATTAGGGATAAATGAGGGAGCCCGTTCTGTGGTGGTGCCTCCACTTTAGATACCATTCCTGAGTAGCAACACCATCATCCTTCTGGTGCTGGGTCAAGGCATTTTTATTTAGACAGACATTTTAACTTGGTTACTGTTTCTCTTTTGTCCATTGTTTGTTTGGCTTGTCCTCATCTTATTTCTATATGAAGATCAGTTTGTTATGTTATACAATTTGTATTACTGAATGCCATCCTGGAATCCATTAGGAACAAGGGCAACTTAAGTATTTTTAAAGTAAATAAATAAAAGTGCTCCAGGAGAACGTTTGAAACAAACATAATTATCATTCCTAGGAACTAGAAGAACCAAATCCTACAATCTGGCATTGCCCACTGAAATTGGATAGATATAGGAACAAAAATTTGAGACAATGACAGGTCCATGCAGAAGAGCACCCAGGGAGATGAGCAACTGGCAACAGTCCAGGAAAGGGAAGGCAAGAGATAAGAACTGGGAGACTTTTACCAAGCTACGTCCGAACCCACAGTGCAGGGTTTAAGAAATAGACTCCTGATCATTTCTAAAGAAAAATCAGTTAAGAATGACCAGAACAGCATTTAAAAAGAAGCAACCAATATTGTCAGCAACGCTTTTTAAGGACCTGCATTCCTCTGTTTCCATAAAAGCCATGTCAGAGATTTTAAAAACACTGGAAATGCCTCCTGTGGAAGCTCCAATGCATAAACAGTGCCTCAGAGAGATTAACAAAGGCCTCATTGTGCCAGTGTTATGGTGCAGTGGAGTCAACAACTTAGAAGTCTGCTGGTTATGTATAAAGGGTTTAGCTCCCCATATACAAAAACAAAACAAACGATGCTGCACCAAACTGTCACCAGACAAGACATTTGAGGTTTAAAAAAGAATATTCTAATGCAATTAGTATACATAATAAATGAAGCATCATTGAGCTGTTTCTAGAGATGCTTGATCTGGTTACAGTGATAAGGACACAGATTACATCTTGAGTTGATGTTAGCCTTCTAATTAACTGTTTGCACTAATCACTCAGTATAAATCCTAATAACATGTCAAGTAAAAGTGAAATTACAATTCTAAATATATTTTACAGTTGGCATGAACCACTCCTGCTATTCAAAAGAACAGCATTCAAGAGGAAGACATTCTAATAGCCCAACAACGCATTTGATCAAAAAGGACTTTTTCACAACATAAAATAAGGCCATCAACTTGCAAAGTCCATGTTTCCTAGACATTTGTCTATTATTCTATGACTCTAACATACAGTTTTAATTATTCAATAATTAAATAATTATTAATTATTGAAGAGCCAGTGTGGCGTAGTGGTTAAGAGCATGGGACTGGGACTCGGGCGATCTGGGCTCTAGTCCCTGCTCAGCCATGGAGCCAACTGGGTGACTTTGTGCCAGACAGCCTAGCCTAAATCACAGGGTTGTTGTTGTGGGGATAAGATGGAGGAGGAGAACGATGTAAGCTACCTTGAGCCCTTTGTAGGAAAAAGGCAGGATATAAATTGAAAAATAAATAAATCATACAGTAGCATTCAAGGTATATTACAGAGAGTGGTGAACCCAGTTCATATTTTACCTCTTTCATGTACTGATTATACAAAGCCTCTGCAGATTCCAAGTAACTCTGTGCTGTTTTAATGTCATCTCTTTCCGACCACAGGATACCCAGATTATTCTACAAAATGAGAGGTAACAGTGTTTTTAAAACTATTTCAAATGTTATTTCTATTTTCTAAATGACACAAAGAGGATAAATCCACATTCATTAAACCAATTTTAGAGGAACACAGGGTCGCTCTGGAACCAGTAATGAAAATAACTACACAATGCAAATCTTACATCTGTTAGGTGGCACCAGGTTGGGGGAAGGACACCTTAGAGGAAAATCCTAGAAAGGCAAGCTAGTTACTTATGACACATTATTTTAATGCATTATACTTTATAACAGTAATTATTCAAAGCTCAGCACACCTGAGGTGATTATTTTTAGGGGGTGAAGTGGAAACTTTACTGCCTTACAACAATCAGTCCAGGAGATGGTCTGTCACCACCAGCTCAGCTACCCATACCAGTGTTTTTATTTCATACCTCCCTCAATGTTTCCCACCACTCTACAGCTCTCTCTCTCACTCTCTTTCAGCATTTGCATTGTGTTTTTTTCTTCTGGTACTAAAACCAGAAACTAGACATATTGCTACAGAAAAAGCAAAAGAACAGAAAAGCCATCTTTGTGGACAAAACAGAAAAAAATGTTAAAACATTTAATGGCTTTCTCTCTCATCCTGTAGCAAGTAGATTTGTCACAGGCCATGCTAAAATCTCCCAGGCTTTAAAACTGAGATATAGTAGTTCTTTATGCTATTGCGCCAGGTTGACAGTCATCTGTGTCTTTCCTCAGATAAAGAGCTATGTAAGGTCTGAAGACTGTAAATACAGCTACGAATAGGAGAAGAGAACTACAGCATTCACATATTTTGTTTCAATTACTAGCCTTTTTCTTTTTGTATAATACTGTGATGTTATAGGCTTTTGTCTTCTCTAGAGCTCTAATTCTGATATGCAGCAGTATCAGTACTGAAAATATATCTGGGAAATTCAAAGATTATTTCAAAAGGACAATACAAGAAAAAAATAACTGTTACTGTTAATGACAGACAAGTAAGAAAAAGTGAAGAGGTGCCCTTTTAAGATCTATTATATAGTCGTAATCTACACAGCATTGTTGTGCTTTGTTCATTACCTCAACAACTGCCTACTTTATGGAGGTAGGCAGAGTCAAGTGTTTGCTGTTTTCCCCTTCCCCTGGTATTCCCTATTCTGCTCTAGAAGCACCCCCTGAAAAAGCACAGGAAATGATGCAAGAGGATGGGGAAATTGTCTCCACTCACCCTTCCATCAGACCCCACAAACAGAAGATGCTGATCTTGTTACAGTAGAACAACTCTATATCTGAGCCAAGGAGTTATTCAGTCACATTTAATAAATTGTCTAAATATATTATGTATTTAACCTATAAAAGCACCATAAGAACACTAAAAGTTGTAGCTTGCCCGAAGTTACATGAATTATTGGACTGAAAAATCTAAAGCTCACAACCAGTACAGCTCCATAAAAGACCCACTTGCTTCAAGGAATAATTATTTCTACTGTCCACCACAAGTGTTATTTCTGATTCTCAAAAAGGGTAATACATGAATAATACCTTCACTGGACCAAATGCTATCAAAACACTGTTAATCTTAAAATGCATGGACCAGGAAGAGTGGCTGGATGTTGACAATAACAGACATTTGGGCAAACATCTCTCCTGATGTCAAACTATTCTGATCATGCATTACAGACCAGTCAGCTACTGAATTTTATGAGGTCTATAAACTTGCATTACTTCTCTCCTAAGGAGTGTACATGGTTCAAATCTAAAGAGGTTAAAGGGCGTACAGAGTTGCAAGCAGCCTCTCCAGCTTCTCCATGAGATGGGCTAGCAGCCCCCACAGTTGCTCATCACTTTTAGCCATGGCTACCAGCAAACCTTACGAGTAACCCTTCCCAACATGGAGCTCCCAGCGAAACTGGGCTGCAACCCCCTCGGGAAGGCCCCAGGGTGGGAAGGCGGCCTTAGACTGAGCCTCGTATCACAGCCCGCCTCGGAAGGGGCTCCCCGGGGCCAGCCGAGGCAAGCCTTCCACACCTGGGCCTGTATGTAGAGGGAGACGCACTCCCGGGAGAGGCGGTGGCGCTCCAGCAGCTGCAGGCACTTCAGCAGATGCTCCTCGCCGGCGGAGCACTCCTGCGTGTCCGTGTGGTTCACCCCCAGCTCATACTCCACCGCGGCCAGCCGCACGGCGCGCAGGCGCTCCCTCTCGCTGGCTCCGTCTGCGCCGGCGGCCGGAACGCCTTCGGCCTCGCCCGACTCCTCCGAGCCCAGCAGCTGCTTGATGCCTTCGAGCAGCTCCCGCGCGCTGTACTTGGAGCGGTACGGCTCGGTCTCCGGGTCCTTCTTGGACTCCACGTACGAGAGGTTGATGGCGCTCCGGAACTTCTCGCAGAGCGAGGCCCACTCGACGGGGGTCGCCATCTTCTCCCTTCCCCCTTCCCGCTCCACTCCTCGTCTTCTCCGCTGCCGCCTCGTCGGAGTCGCAGCAGCTCCCTCTGCCACTCGGGTAGCCGTCGCTATGCCCGCTTTACGCTCCCCCAGCAGTACTCCGCATGCGCGGGCGCGTGGCGTGCCCGCTCAACAGAAGACACCGCGGGCTCCAGCTGCCCTGACTCTATTCCCTTAGTTAAAATGGAGGCACGATAGGCACGCACCAGTTGGGGAGGGACGAGGAGAGGCAGAGGCCACCGCATGCGCCAGAGGGACGTCCAGCAAAGCACTGCTGTGGCTCACAGACATCTGCAAAGGGGGCTGCTAAGAAAGCTGGATTCAGTGGGCGAATCTGCCTTACAGTCACAAGCCACTTTACCGTCACTCACAACCCCTGACCAATTGTGGTTCTGTGAAGGGCGACAGGCTTGTTGGCATTTTGGTGGTACATTTTCAAATATTTGGTGGGTGCGGAGGCAAGATAGCTCTCTTGGAGTAACACTGAAGTAATTGTGGCACCTATGGACGGATAGCAAGATTAGAAATTTCCTTTGGTCTTAAGGTTAAATGCTTTTTTTCCATGCTCTGCAGGATTCATGCCAAGCCTAAAGCGAGTCAGGCTAATGGACCACACTTCAGCAGGATTCCACTAAGTTCCCCTGGATTTGCATCTCATTTTCAGCATTGCAACCTGCATGTTCACCTGCCTCCCACCCTGGGCCAGAAAACAGTGGTGATGAAAAGGAGGAGCAATAGATGTCACTGCCTACTTGCTTACTGTTTCCTGGGCTGTCAAGCATGTTGCATCAGTGCTGGGAAAGGAAATAAATCTCATTGTGGGAGGGAGTCCAATGAGGGTGTCTCACCCAAGGTGCTTAAAAACTTGCAAGTGGCACTGCCCTGTATATTCAAAGCCATTCAGTATTTGAGCACAAAACCCCATGAACCTGGTGTCAAACTTCCCACCCAGTAATAATATTTGTATAATGCGACTAGTCATTTTGAACGTTTTTAAAGTGTGTGTGTGTGGGGGGGGGGGGAGGGTTCTTTTATCACCTTTCTTCCACACACTCTGGGTGAATTCAGAGCCCAGGAATTCGAGACTCAGAACAGAATACAGACTAGTCTTTCCATGAGACAATTCATGCCTGGTTATCCCAAAAATTCCTTTTAATGCATTTTTGGGTGGGTGTCACTTGGTTGCTTAATCACATGTCAGAAAACTTTACTGGTCTACTGCACAGCTGCCCAAGTGGTCTGCAGTTAGTGCTAGATCTTCTACCCATCCTTGATGATAGGTGTGTCATTTCAGAGACACAAAAGATTTTTTTTTAAATCTGAAGTCATGGGGTTAAAAAGCAATGTATTTTACAATACACTTTAGAGATGTGAGGTCACTTTGTTTCAGAACACCAGTGAATTCTACAGCCTCAAAGTTAATAAACTGTTAGGCTAACCTATATGCAGTTCTATGGCTGCTGGCCACAATAGCAGACTAACCCTCAGTGTTGTGATATGGGTTTTAGCTGTCTATAGCATCTGCCCAGAAACAACTCTTGTGAGACAACTTGGCAACAAATGCATTTTTCCATATTATGTATTATGATGACTCTACTAAGAAAACTACCATGCTTTCAAGCATCCCTAAGTGTCTTATCAATAAAAGATGCATTACATTCATGTTAATAAGGAACGGAAAAAATAACACAAGAGGTGGTCTGATATGGCATGGTGGCTCAAGTGCTGGACTGTGGACTTGGAAGATCTGGGTTCTTGTCCCTAACTCAACCATGAAGATCTCTGAGTGACTGGGGCAGTTACTCAAAGTCTCACAGCGTTGCCCTTGTGAGGATAAATGGGAAATACGTAAGCTACCTCAGGTTCCTCACAAAAGGAAAACACATTGGGACATGATGCAACACAGTAACTAAAACAACTTTGCTGGGAATCTTACAGAGAGGATTAAAAAACATTTCCCCCTCCATCTAGCCACTGTTCCGGGAATTTTATATTTCAAGCCTTTTTATATAAATAGTCTCCTTACCACATAGTTTTTAGGAATCATTTGAGGGACAGTCAAGGCTGGGTAGCAATATATAAACATTTTAAATGCTAAAAGAAGTAACAGCAGAACCTAAACTGTTCAGTTTATTTTTCAGGGAAAGCACCCCCTTTTTTGACTGAGACTTCATCTATTTCAGACGAAAGAAAGGTATTTATTGTAGATGAACTATTTCTTCAATTTGCTACCACCACTATCCTCCTTCAGATATCTAAGTTAACTTGGCTAGTTACTTGGTTAAAACTGCTTAGCAAACGAGAGTCCACTCAGTTCATTACAGATAGGTTAGTGTAAACATGTTACAAGGGAATAGATTATAAAAAAGTTAACAATGATAATAATTAGATCCAATGTTTTAAGTTGTATGTGTGCAGCTAGTAGCTTGTTCTAAATTCTGCAAGTTTAGTAATGTAGATCTGATCTTTGCTGCCTACAGATGCTGCCAGGGCACCAACGCTGCTGAAGAACAACTGAGGGAAATGGTGGGAACCCCTGCTTTTATATGGATGCCAAGGTGTGGGCGGGGTTGCCACCAAAAATGCTCTTAGCATCTTTCTGGCAACAGGCTCCATGCAGGTGCAGAGTCTGTATGTGTGATGCACGAAGGCCATGAAGAAGAGCCAGTTGTGTGACAAGGTTGGCTCCATGAACTGTCTTTAGAATCACGTGTAAGCTGTCTTTAGTTCTACCCTGTCACACAACTCTTCGTTCATTTCTTTTACATTTAATATTCACACGTTTGAGCATTCTCAGTAACTTCAACTTGTTTGCTTGGTTCGTTCATTCAGCATTAGGATGTGATAGCAGTATGAATGTAACATATGTAAGCTAGTAATAAAAGCACATAGGAAAAAGTGTAAATCAACTTTACTTTTGATAAAACAATTTTAGTCCCATTTATATCTGACATTGATGAACCATTAAAAAGCCCGGTCAAAGCTTCTTTTTTGGCCCCTGTTTCTGAATCTGTCGTGCCTATTGAAGCCGCCACTTCGTCTTCCATTCCTGAATTCTGATCCACCACTTCGGCCACTTTCACGAGGTGTCTCTTCAAGTTCAGGTAATTCTGTTGCCACGGAAAGTTGCCAGCGTCTTGTGTCTTGCCATGTTTGCTAATAAAAAACAAGTCTTGTGTTATTTTTAGAGTCAGAACTGCATTTGCAAACCTGCATGCTGACCAATGTTTACTATCATGACAGAAAATAAAGGATAAAAAATGAGACACACAGAACATAAAATGCAAGAGAAGGTACCAAATGAGCCTTACCTTACACTTTGCATCTGATAGTAAAAATTAAGTATGCCACTCTTTATGGGGGGGCAAAATATGCATTAATAGTTATGTTTTATGCTATCCACCAAAGGGGTGAAAGTTGCACAGAAGCAGTATTGTCAGGGAAAAGTGGTAATTAGAGCCAGGGATCCTCTCAAGGAGGTGAAATATGATAAGTATAATGGGTATTTTTTTTCCTGTAACACAATTGTGTGAACTTGAAGGACCACTGGATGTAAAGATTGAGAGGGTTCATTAAATGATGTCTAGTTATTCTGACCACTGAATATAAAAATCTTGAAAAAGACAGGACTTTTGGATTCAGATCCTCATCACAATTCATACCCTTGGGTTTTAGTGTGGATTCAAACCCATCCTTGACATTTTAATAGAAATTTATTTAGATAGTCTGAGTGTCTATCTCCACTTTCAAAAAAATATATTTTAAGCATTTAAATAACAGTAACCTGCCTATTTTTTGAGGGACTGCAGGTGGCGCAGTGGTTGAAACCGCTGTGCTGCTGGGCTGGTAGATTGAAAGGTCGCCAGTTCGAATATGCACAACGGGGTGAGTTCCCGTTGCTCCGTCCCAGCTCCTGCCAACCTTGCAGTTCGAAAGCATGCAAATGCAAGTAGATAAAAAGGTACCACTTCGGTGGAAAGGTAAACAGCATTTCGTGCACTTTGGTGTTTAGTCATGCCGGACACATGACCACGGAGACTGTCTGCGGACAAATGCTGGCTCTCTCGGCTAGGAAACGGAGATGAGCACCACCCCCTAGAATCAGGCATGACTGGACTTAATGTCAAGGGGAAACTTTTACCTTTTTAACCTGCCTATTTAACTTACAGTATATCACAGAAGTCAGTATACCCCTCACATTTTGTAAATATTTTATATCTTTTCATGTGACAACCCTGAAGAAATGACACTTTGCTACAATGTAAAGTAGTGAATATGCGGCTTGTATAACAGTGTAAATTTGCTGTCCCCTCAAAATAACTCAACACACAGCTATTGATGTCTAAACCACCGGCAACAAAAGTGAGTACACCCCTAAGTGAAACTGTCCAAATTGGGCCCAAAGTGTCAATATTTTGTGTGGCCACCATTATTTTCCAGCTCTGCCTTAACCCTCTTGGGCATGGAGTTCACCAGAGCTTTACAGGTTGCCACTGGCATCCTCTTCCACTCCTCCATGACGACATCACGGAGCCGGTGGATGTTAGAGACCTTGCGCTCCCCCACCTTCCGTTTCAGGATGTCCCACAGATGCTCGACAGGGTTTAGGTCTGGAGACATGCTTGGCCAGTCCATCACCTTTACCCTCAGCTTCTTTAGCAAGGCAGTGGTTGTCTTGGAGGTGTGTTTGGGGTTGTTACCATGTTGGAATACTGCCCTGCGGCCCAGTCTCCGAAGGGAGGGGATCATACTCTGCTTCAGTATGTCACAGTACATGTTGGCATTCATGGTTCCCTCAATGAACTGTAGCTCCCCAGTGCCGGCAGCTCTCATGCAGCCCCAGACCATGACACTCCCACCACCATGCTTGACTGTAGGCAAGACACACTTGTCTTTGTACTTCTCACTGGTTGTCGCCACACGCTTGACACCATCTGAACCAAGTAAGTTCATCTTGGTCTCATCAGACCACAGGACATGGTTCCACTAATCCATGTCCTTAGTCTGCTTGTCTTCAGCAAACTGTTTGCGGGCTTTCTTGTGCATCATCTTTAGAAGAGGCTTCCTTCTGGGACGACAGCCCTGCAGACCGATTTGATGCAGTGTGTGGCGTATGGTCTGAGCACTGACAGGCTGACCCACCACCCCTTCAGCCTCTGCAGCAATGCTGGCAGCACTCATACGTCTATTTCCCAAGGCCAGCCTCTGGATATGACGCTGAGCACGTGCACCCAACTTCTCTGGTCGACCATGGCGAGGCCTGTTCTGAGTGGAACCTGTCCTGTTAAACCGCTGTATGGTCTTGGCCACCGTGCTGCAGCTCAGTTTCAGGGTCTTGGCAATCTTCTTATAGCCTAGGCC